CAACAATGCATGCTTACGCCCTCATACCTGTGAAGGCACGCGATCGACGCAGATTGTCGAGCTTCGTGCTTGCCGAGTTTCGGGTTGCAACTGATTTTAAGAAATATTTTTCATTCAATTGTTTTGAAATATTTTAATCCTCAAAATATACTCGTGTAAACAGTCTAATCGGATTTTGATGCGAAATCGCAAGGGTCGTTTAGTGCATTCAAAACATTTACTACGTCTGCAGGTCAAAAGGCTGTTTACGAGTTCACAGATGTACAAACCTTTTCGAGTCTCATGGAACCTTGGCAAGACTTTCTTAGATTTTTTTTGTATCCGTTCGATAATTCTCTTTTATCAGCTGTTTAAAGTTTTTCTAGTAAATATAATTCGAGAGATTTTCTTTTCACTCTCGAACAGTCTCAAAAGAAAAAAAACTAATAAATTCTATATAAATCAAGTATAACATTGAGAAAAAATGATATTCATATGTAATCTTTTATTTATGCAATTTAGTGTGAATAGTAGAGTTTTATATGAATAATTACATATAATAAATAAACTATTACATATAATAAAATATTATATGTAATAGTATATGAAATATTAAGTATTTTTAGAGTGCGTTTACCAATATATTCGTCCAAAATGCAACTCGTCGTTTCGACTTGTTTTATCAAGGTGACAGGTCACAAGTGGAAGGGATATTATAATAATACAAAAAGATATGGCTGAAGTACGCTATTTATTCTGTTATTTATTAATGACAAGGTTGACTAGTATTACTATTATTACTTGTAGAACTAATTCTTGGATTGAAGTAATGTTAGTTGAATACGAATGGCGAATGGCGCGCAGTTTCGTTCGTTGACACTAGCACCTTTTGAACGAGCACGTGTGTGGTTGAGGTTATGAATGCAGCTTTATGATTGAAAGATATCGCAAAGTGGCGCGACACTGGAATTGTCAACACTTGAGCTTTGCTTACTTTCGTCAGCTTCCGAACTTGAACTAAGGTGAGGGTTACTGAAATGAGACGCCCCTGGCGAGCGCAAAAACTGGACGACGCGTACTGGAATTTATTCCGCACTGTCGTATTAAGAGTAGCTTCCTCGTCCTTAGTGCTTGTCGATGTAATACTCTGAATCTCAATATACATGTAATTATTGTAGTAGATACTACTTACAAAGACTAATCGTTGACTCGTCTTCGGACTCTGATAGGCGGATTGTCGTCGCTCCCTTGGAACATGTAACGACGGTTTCTTGAACTGCGTTAGTGGACAAACGGGCTTATGTCGTCGTTCTTCCGGGGCTTGTAACTACTGTTCCAGTACCAGTGTTAATGGACAATCCGAAGAAGTGTAAGTCGTTTCCCGCAACAGAGTTAAATCGGCTTTCACTAAACTTAACTGAGTATGAAATGTCTCAAGGGTTTAATATATTGAGAGAGTATTACTAAAAGAGAGATATCAAAAAAGGAGAGACACTTAAAAAAAGAGTAATATCACGAAAACACTTCTAAAGAAAAAACTATCAAGAGTAAATATCAGGACAGTTAAATATCACGAGTGATAAGTATTAAGAGAGTTAAGTATCGAGAGTAAATGAGTATTGAAAATTGCGCCCCTTAAATACATTTGCTGACCATGAATTTTACTTGAATCCCTTCCCTTATTTTCTGTCCAATCCGAGACTCTTCCCTTATAGTGCGAGGGCAGCGCCTCTTTTGGCTTCGGAGTTAATTAAGGGCCTAGTCGTCTCTGGGTCTTCATGATGAGCAGATCTCTCATTGCTGCTGCCGCATGCGACAAGGGGGGGTTCGCCGACACATCTGGTGACAGCATTGCAATTAGTAGACTGCGGGAAGGGGAAGGAACTCCGCTTGCAGTAATGCTTGATGTAGTTGCCGAGCGAAACGAAAATGCAGATGTCTAAACTATAGGTTTTCCTGTGCTTATGGTATTATTTTTCCAGATGTTTTATGACACTAATACGTGAGAATTTTGAGCAAGCGAAGTTTTGAAATCCAAATACAAATTTTACGATGTTACTTACCAGATGTTTTATTGCACTGACAAAAAAAAGGAAAAATGTTCTCGCATTCTAGAACAATATTACTTATTCTATATTATACTTTTTATTGTATGATATGCCTTTATTTTCTTACCGCGATCTTATATCTTTATCATTAAAAAGTATTCTCCACGAAAATAAGTAAAAATCTTCGAGCTTTTTATTTTTTCAGATATTTGCTATACTATTTTATTGTTCAATCCATGATTCAATTTTGATTTTTTCGTTCCTCTACACTAGAAACTTGAATAGAATTTTTTACCTTTTTATTTTATTATTTTCGATTACATAATATCATTAAATTCTTCTGTATGTTGCACCCAGCCAAAGAGAGTCAGTGAAATATATTACAATAATACCAGCAATATTCAGATGAGAGATAATGTTTGGAATTCCAGTCACCCGTGGTCGAAGGACCAAGATGGTTGGATTAGACCATGTCCACCATTTTACTGGTAGAAAAGTGTGAATAAGTGGAGAGGTTAATGCTTCAATTCAATAATCAACACATTTACTTTGAATTTTAATTTACAAATACACAATTATCATTCTAGGTTGATGGTGAGAATCGTTGAGATTTTATCGTTCCTTAGTGGTTTTACAGATGCAGGTAGTATGCACTGCAAATCGAGCTTGAAGGTTGTAAATCTTCGGGGCCTCTTGGTGTTCTGCGTTTGGTGGAGGATTACTACACTGAGAAGCGAGAGATCGTAAATCTCTGGATATTCCTTGTATAGTGCCACGTATTGATGTTTTAATTGCTTTTGATGTATAAAAATATGAAAAAATGATTGAATACCTCAATGTGTCTTGGTAGTGCATAGTATGGTACTTATAGAGATACAACGTGCAGTGGCGTCTTGGAGCAGATGTAGTACAGAAGTTGTTGCGCCTTGATCCTGAATGCAGTAATAGTATGTAGTGATGTGTTGTAATACAGCGTGTTCCCTCCTAGGTAGCTCAAGTAAGGAAGTGAACTTCGTCGCGGGCTTGCTTTAAATATTCGAGCGAGTTTGATTATATGGCAAAAATGGACAGGTGTTTCTATGCGGGGACAAGATAAATATTACAGAACGTTCGCAAGCAAAGGTTTTAAAATGATTGAGAAATTTCGGAATTAATGTTTACGATATTGTGATCTAGCACGATTATAATTATAAATCATTAGTCTTTATTTATATATAAAACTATTTTTATGGATAGTTCTTTGGAAATAAATTTTTTTTAACACATTTTTAAAAAATAAAATAATATTTTACAAGGTTTGTGATAAATTTATATATTTAAGATAGGATTTGTTGCATCCAGCGAATTATCAACATTTTTACATGTTATACTATTATCTATATAATACTTAAATAAGGCATATCTTTCATTGCTTAAATGTCTAATTACAAAAATGATTCAAATAATTTGTTTAAATACAATATAAATATTTTACACTATTACACATATGTATTATTTTTTTATTTGTATAATAGATACTGATAAAAGAAGGATAAATATTTTATGCATACTTATTTGTAAAAACTTTAGTTTATATTGAAACCTATCTGGACGTTATACTTTAATTGGCAATGAGTTTATGTTTCCTATTTATTAAGAAATCTACCATAAATAAGCTTAGTTATTAAAATTGACATATAAAGATCATTCCCATTAATAAGCTTGTTCATTTCCACTTTCAATTTTAAAAAGATAAATTGTAATATTACAGATACAGTTGAACACTGAACTCGGTGGTAGTGCGACAAAGAATTTTTAAAGCTATTTTTATCATAAATTAGAATTTATTATGTATCTTCAACACTTTACTATATTAGTTTTTTCAATCTTGATCATAATGTAATTGTTTCAACTCTTAATACGTGCATAGAAGATACTTGGCCTATATCCAATTATGTATTCACGTATAAAGACCTTTTATTATTATCAGGTACTTTGCAGAAAGTTGACACTATTATAATAGATTATCAGCATATATGTATCCATTCCAGTCCTGAAATTATTAAAAAAAATAAAAGTAATGTATTTATATTTTTGAAATATAATATAATACTACATATTTAATTTTTATAATTTTTCAGATAAATTTTTGAAACTTTTGTTTGGAACCATTTTATTTTTAATCAAGCATACTATTAAAATCTCAGCAGACCATTAATTCATTATTCTATAATGCTTTCTAATAGAAAAATAATATGTGATTGTTCGGGATTGAAGCAGTCCCATGAATTTCAAACAAAAGAAAGGTTTAAATCCGAACAGTGATATATTAGTAAACATTTTTCAATACATGTTTATATATATCTTTGATTATTATTTGTTTGACTTTTATAGGTGTTTATTTTTCTTTAAAATTGAAAAATAATAAAATTTATGAATAAATAATTTTACTTTATGAATAATAATTTTTATAATAATTTTATTTTCCGAAACTCTTTGACTTCTTGGCTCGAACTTCCAATTTTTCAATAGCTTTAATTTACCGCCCGCCATTGAGGATGCTTGGAAAGGAGTTAAGTGGATGGGCTATAGAAATACATTATGCGTTTCTTCGAAAATACGGTTTATTTACAGTTACACTATTCTTTGATTGGATTTATATATATATATATTGGAAGAAAATACGCTATATTCGGTCACGTTCTTGCAGTCGCTTATAACTGGTCTTGTGTTAAATAAGTTGTCTTCTCGAGTAGCTTCCTTGAGATGTTGATGTTGTTATTGATCTTGTAATGATCAGCAACTGATTATGCACACTCCTTATTATTGAGTGTGATTTGTGCTATTAATAATAACGTCATACTAATCTTGTAAGAACTGCTAATAATTTAGGTCGCACATACTTTGTGTACTGACAGTAGTACAGTACCCTTGATCTGATCCTGGGATGAGTAGTTCACCATTATTCACATTCCAAGTGAGGGAGTGTATCTTGGGTAGTCTGGCGCTTTCGTGGTATGAAGGAGATAACGCTAACACCCTTCAACTGTAGCACAGGAGGGTTGATGTATCTTCCTTCTATTGGTGTGTTACTCAAAATTATTCACTACTTTATCACCGTTTAATGATAACCCCCTTCTTTCTTGGCTTCTCCATGTAGACAGCGATTGTATCTTAGTTGTCCCCACTTTTAAGGCCTCTGCCATTAATTCCTTTCTCAAGGAACGCCTTTGCCTTAGTTTTCTCCAATAGGAGCACGTTGATCTCGGCGGCACGACTGAGTGTGCGTGCCTCTGACTTCAGTCTTACGTCCTCCGAGAGAGGTTGGCTTCGACAGTGGCCACTTTGGCAAGAGCGCCTATAGCGTCAGAGCTTTCAACTAGGATGTTCACTCTTGTCTTGGACTTCGCGTCGAGAGGAGCTCTTAACTGAAGAGTCCTAGGAACGCTTAAGTAGCGTCTCTAGCGACAGAGCCATCATTTAGAAATCTCACGCTTTTCTTGGACTTCCTGCCGAGAGCAGCTCCTGGTTAAATGTCGCCGTTTGCCTTGTATAAGCCGCATCATGTGGTCGACTGCATAATAATGGATCCGTTGTGTCTTGTTACATCGTATACCTTGCGTGTGACGACTATTGCCGGATGCCTAATGAGCTGGATTTTTCCAGATAACCAATGACTCGGACCTTACGAGATGTTTAGCCACAATGACCATTTCGGAGATGTTTGACGACTTGGTTATGATTATATGTCTTACACTCTCAAAAAGTTCTCATAATCTCGCCTAACTATACCTGTGGCATCCTTGTTAGCTGACAATAAAGGGTCGATCATTACGCTCGAAACAATGGGCGCGAATGTGGTGCGAAGAACAATGGAAGTGATTGTGCACGTGTTTCATATCAAATATACCGACTTTTCTGAACCTCCAACAACTGTTGGAGAATTTTCGTAGAAGTTATGACCGTTAAATAATTTCTTGAAATGATAGTCGTTGGGATCTTTTCTGAAATGATAACATTTGAGAGACTCTCTGAATCTCGAACACTTCACACGAAATCATACGACTTATAGTATAAAACTTTGTATACAAAAAGGTAAAAAACATTGAAATCCACATAATGGATTTAGAATATATGTGACAATCAGCAACTTATATATATATATATATACAAATACTCTCAAATATATGAAAGTATATTGATTATAAACATTTTTTCTTTTTGCATAATAATTATTAACAACTATATTAACTAAGATAACTCTTTTTTCATTATCGTAGTCAAGTAGCCTAAAATTTAATTGTATTAAAAAAAAAATTAAAAAAAATTTTAATTGAGAAACACAATAAAGTAAGGTAATCTATATAAATTATAACTGAATTTTTGGACAATTTATAAAAGGTAAATTAAGTTGTCACATCATGGAGGTAGATGAAAAATCAGCTATTTAAGTTACATGAGGTGATCCGTAATGGTATTTGGTAAATTTATATTTATTTATTATTAGTCTTCGGGATTGAAGCAAGTTCCAAGACCGTCGATTGTCGGCATCACAGCCTTTTAGATCTCAGATTTCTGTAAACACTTTGGACGAGACTTTTCGTATACTTGTTATTTTTTTGTTTCAAATCGCCCGCAATGTTTACATGGTCTTCGGGTAATAACATCGCCCGAAATTCTCTAACGTTATTACGCCTTACTTTTTCTTTCGTCAAATTCTCAAAACATCCAGACTTTTCTTTCTGCGCCTCATGTAATATTCCAGTACAACAACGACGATGCTTTGTTATCAGCTAAGAGAGCCGCCGCGTGGATATTAAGGCAAGCACGCGGCGTGCCTTGCTCTCTTGCCAAACATCTTTTGCCGAACATCTTGCCGCGAGCCGACTGGAGTTTACCGACCATAGTGAACCGATCTAATCATCTACCAATAGAAGCCATGGCACACGAGTCTCGGTCTGCCCTCAGCAGGACTGACATGGAACGGTCAGTATTTTCAGTAGAGCCGCCACGGAACTATCAAGCCTTCGGCTTCGTGCGCGTATTCAAAAGACTTATACGCTCATTGTAAATCTACCTCGCGCTCACTTAACTGTTATTACGGCTCAGTGTTTTAGTATATACTGTGATGACGATACGTGGCCACATATTCGGTAGTCTACTAAAAAAAATTTTTTTAATAAAATGTTACGTGGCAATAGTAAGAAAAGAAATATTTGTTGAAATTAAAAGATATCTTTTAAACTTTTTATGAATTTTATTATTTTTTATTTATTAGTGATAAAATGAAGAAAAAATATATAATTGTAAAGTAAAGAATTTTTTTATTGCAGGAGATAATAAATTTATTATAAATATTTTATCAAATAAACATTAACAATCACGTATGTAATAAGATGTGAAAAACTATTGTATGTAAATTAAACAATCGGTCGATATACTATTCTGAATAGAAATATACAGTTTTTAGAAATATATTTAAATGAAATGAATGTTGCTGTTAATATTTAAATAAATATTTTTATGAATTATTATCAATGATGAAAATAAGAATATAAATAAAATTACCGTTTAGTCAGACATCAGTCTCAATACTTATACAGGCAAGATGTATATTATTATTGTAATGAGGATTGCAGATTGATTTCTTTATAACATCTGAGCGTCTTAATAAAATACCTTCTTCTAGTTCCATTAGATCAGACGATGATTCTGACATTGAATTCTTTTTCATAGTTTGGCCTATAATGATATATTTAATACTCATTATCATGTTTAGTTTAAAAAATTAAATATATATATATCAAAGAAATGAAAAAACTTACCCAAAGTACCTGGAAGATATGGGCAACTAGTTACATGATTAAAATTTTGTGATTGCATTTCCTCTTGATCAGTCTCTCGGTGATAAAAGTAATTAAAATTTGAAACAATTACTGGTACTGGTAATGCAATTGTTAAAACACCAGCTATTGCACATAAAGAACCAACAATTTTTCCCCAGACACCCACAGGACTGAAACAAAAAGTTGTATATTATAAGAAATAAAATTTTTATATATATAGTAAAATAAATATACTTATTTAAATCGAATAATTTTATAACTTCGCAAGAGCAGTTTTCTGCTTCTAGTTAATTAATAATATGTGTTTATTAAAAAATTGTAAGGAATTTAAAATTTTTTTTTAGATATACGCATATTATAGTAGCATGCATTTTCGAGAAATTACAAAGTATGTTTAGGTACATGTTGTTTGAGAATGCGAGAACGCTTAAAATGCAATAAAACATCTGGCAAGCAACATCGTAAAATTCATATTAGGATTTAAACTTTTCTGCTCATAATTATTTGTACTAGTGTCATAAAACATCTGGAAAACTCCAGTGGAACGTGCCTTTGCTTCACAGAGCAGTGAAACAAATAGGTTTATTGCTGGGAAAAACCCTTGAGTAGATTCCAAACGAATATCACTCGATACATGAAATATCGAGTACAAAACATTTCTTAAATTCATTGCAACCCAAAAATCCCGAACGTGCGACAACTTGTATTAATCGCACGTCCACTTAGACTCATTAAGACAACACTTATTGGACTGGATTATTTTCTGTGTGAGTCACATCTGGTCGGTCGCCTCCGAAAATGACCACGCCCAAGAGGACCCTTCATCTAGCCAAGTCCAAGAGAAGGGAGAAGCAATCAAGAAGAGATGACCAATATCAAAAATTCCCCACTTCCGACACTTCTCTGATTAGCATATTCGGAAATGAACTCGGAAGGAAGTGGAGATGAAGGCGTGCATAATCTATTGTGCTGCCTTAGAACGACCTCTGATTGGTTAATTAATAGAAGAAGGAGTTCCTAGCGGAGTGGGACCAGTGAAGCGTTTAAGATAGAAAAATGTAATGTACCGATACGAACACTTACTCTTTCCAAATACTTCTTACAGTACAGGATAAGTCACGACGTACTCTCACGGAGGAGGACCGGAGAGACAAGTGACTTTAGCTGAGTTTTAATATGAAGTTCTTTCTACGATTGTGAATTAGTATACCGTTGAATTAATCTCATCAAGACTAAATTGCATAGGACCTGACCACTTGCAATCTCGATTGGAGATCAGGAAGTCTCAGTCTTTACAGCTAGTATAAACTCTTGATTTCTCAGCTTAAGCAAAGAAGGACGAATTAATGTCCAACTTCGCAAGCTTCCCGGACATACTTTAGCGCAAGACCAGCTATAAACGCCACTGTGGCTATTAATCCCTCCAACAATAAACTGTTCCCGTCACATGGCGCACAGCTTCGCATAACCTCTATTTTGGCGCTCTTACGACTAACATTAGAAGCGACTGCACACGTGTTAAATAAAACCCGCCAACAGTGCCACGTTCAATCAACGCACCATAACAACCATAACCTCAAGTAATAATATTCAATAGATTATAGCCTGCTTCATACATAGTTAATATATTTCAACACCACAAGATTATCAAGAAATACAAGTTCTTTTGTTATTCACCTTTTTTAAATTAATTCAAATAAACAGAAATAATAAAGACATGTGTTTATTATTAATCAGTGCATTCACCCTTTACTTGCCCGGCAACCCCACATAACATCTAGTGGATTTTTTGTTCTAAGTTAATTATTGCACGTTTGGCTGACAAGTTGAATTGTGGAATTATTTTCCGAACACATGGTTATTTTCATTGTACATTATTTTTTTCTATTTTTTATCCCTCATATACTTCCGTAATTAATTTGGTTCATTTTATGTTTACCTTTTCCGTTTTCTTACTTCTTGTTTTTCTATTTGTTCATTTTAACATGCATATTTTTTGTCTCTTCTTATAATTAGTTTTATATTTTTTTCTATGTATTTCTTGCATTATATGTAAATATTAATCTATTTCGCCTTCTTTTATTTATATATGATGCAAGCTTGTTTTTAAAAACAAATATATTCATTATATGATTATTTTCATATAGAAACCCTTGACTTTCTAGTGGATACATTTTGTTTCTTTGATTCTAATAATGGTAGTCCGGCCCTTTCGTATAGTATGAAGGTGATAGCGTCAACGCTCGTCGACTGTAGTACAGGATGGTTGATGTATCTTCCTTCTGGTCAGTGGTCATTAGTCTTTACCCATAAGTAAGAGCTCCCTTCTGACTTGACTTCCCCACACAGATAGCCCTTTGCTGCTGTGTTGTCCCCACCTTTAACACCTCTCGCCATGAGTCCAGGGAGTTCCAATCAGGGCACGCCTCTTTTCCCACTTCCGAAGAAATTAGGCTTAGACAATGACAATATCGAAATGAGTGTCTCTGGCGGCAGCGCCTTCATATGGAAGGCTTGCTCCTCTCCGGGACTTAGCGAAATTGGGGGGGGGGGGGGGGGGTGGGGATTTTAGGAAATGTTTTTCACTCAATTATTTTCAAATACTTTAACTCTCGAAATATTCTCTCATAAACAGACTCGCCGCGCTCTTTTTGTCAAATAAGAAGGGTCGTTTATTGCATTTAAAACAATGACTACGTCTGTAGCGCGAAGAATAATAGAAATGGTTGTTCACGAGTATTTTCACGAGTATAGTAATACAAAACTCAAGAAACAAAAACATTCAAACATCACCTAAAAATCATTATAACACAACTAATGCAATTATCGTAATAAACGACAACGATTAACGAAACTATTTATTACTGAATATATGCACTATTCTGTCCACTTGCCCGCAATCCTTCCATCAACCATCTGGGAGTTTCATCTAACTGTAGATATTTGGCCCTCCTAGCCCGGTACTCTATTTTTAGACAGAATGTGTTTATATGGTTTCGATAATAAAGAGCTCGCAATCAGTATTAACCTTGCGCAGAACAATTAGTAAGATTGATTCAAAATTTCAATTAACATGAATATTAAAAGTAACAGGCTCATTTTTAAGCGCTCGTTACAAATGAGAATTAATGATAATAAATTGAATGCTTTACAGGTATTACGTACGTGAAGATTATTCGAAACTTTTTAAAATTTTTAATATTAAAGATACTTGTATATAGAAACGGGACTTGGAATTTATAATTTGTAATTTTTTGTTTAATAATTATGTTCGAATGTTTCCTTACGAAACTTTTGAATAAAAATAAGATAATAATCGCCTTTCAATTGTACACTCTTATAGTTTGCAATAACAATTTCATTAATAATAAATGAAAGAATGGGTTTTGGGTGTGGTGAATTGAGCTTCTTTACATGATCTTCTGTAGCGAACGTAACTTCCGAGCCATTGTCAATTAAAAGACGTGCTTCTACCGTGGTCGATGGTGAGCTAACTTTAGTCATGGCAGTGGCCAACAGGGTAGGTAATCTTAGTGGTGTTGATAGAGTGACGACTGCACCTTCTCGTCAGGTAGTGGTGTTAGAGGTGTTGATGATAGTCGGTGATGAGCTATTGGATTTTTTACTTGCCTTTGATTTACTATCTTCGTGTAATAAGGTGTGGTGTCGCCTTTTACATCTTTTGCAACTGCTGTTTCTCTTGCATCGATCCTTTGGATGATAATGCAGACATATGGTACATTATGGTAATTTTTTTTTCGATAAATTCTGTATATAGAATTATATCGTATCTTAAATTATTTATAACAATAAATATTCACGGTAACTCATAATAAACTACTGCTGTGCTGAACTTATCTTACATCTTTCTTCAATTTAATAGAAATGTAAATAATGTAAATGATTATATAGTTGCATAATAAACTCGATACTGTGAGCTTTTTCGTTAATTCAATAATAATAAATTTTATGAACTTGATCATTATCTTTTAAATATATATATATATATATATATATACATCTACTCATATGTAGAGATTTAATTCGAACATTGTTATACGTTACGTTTTTTTATACAAATTTAGACGACAGATTTCATTTTATACGGCATAGCTAAATTTTCGGTTCTATAACTATATCTTTTTAAATGCGGTTAAATCTAATATAAAACTGAGAGTTTTAAGTCTATTTAATAAGTTTGGAATAAGCTCAATCAATTACATAAATTTACAAGTAAGTGTGCAATGAGCTGTGAGATGCCTTTAGGAAGTTATCATTGTTTTGTAACATGAATTGTGTACATTTAAGTAATGAATTTGCTAAGAAATTTGATACTAATATACATTATATTTTATTCGAACGTAAAATCTAGTGCCATTCATAATAATGGATGGAGAGTAAAGTATCAGAGTATTATTTTCTAAACGCTTCCATATGAACATTGACCGGTAGCAGTCCATTTATTTAATTACACCAATCAGCATCCACTGACTGTATCATGCAACGATTAATTGGCTTTTTCTATTATTGCCTCGAGAATTATTGTTAAGTTTCATTAAATACTAAATTTTTATATTTATATATACTATTAATTCTTTTCTTATTTAAATAAATTTTAATTTTAGTTTAATATCAGTAGTACCTTTAAAATAATGTTTTACTCATTATTCCATTTAAAATATAATTATACAGTTGTATAAATCTACGCTATATGTGACTGAATTATTGGATATATAAAATGTATAACCAACATAAAGAAAACCTACATAAAAAAGTAATTATCTTTAGAATTAAAAATATTTAATAATTTTACGAATACTTATAGTTTTTTTGTATAAACCAGAATTTTCAAAATTTATAAGAATATACTTTTAAATAATGAAAAAGAGCGAAATATTTTAAAATTAATATTAATATATATATATTTCAAGAATCTTCATAAAATTATACTAAATATGTAGTTAATTTGACATTGTGAATAAATATAAAATTTTAATCTAATAAATAAATACTTTTATAAATTATTTAACTTTGTTATATTTTCAGGTCTTATATCACATGTTTGAAACTTATAGTGAAATGGGCCCTCACAGAATTTCATATTCAGATGTTTTATCCGGATTTATATCTTTTTTCGTTGTAGCTATTGGAGGAACTATCATTGGAATTATCTGGGGCTTTGCAACAGGTTTTGTTACAAGATTTACAAACCAAGTTCGTGTAATAGAACCGTTGGATGATAATGCAGGCATATGGTACATAGGCTCTTTTCGGATACGAAAGTCTTCCTTTCTCTTACTGGCGAGTCTATGAACTATTGATATGATGTAAATGCGTGATCACCTTGCCAGCAAATACATGGTGCGATGCGTTTTGAAACTTCTGGCGGGCTAGATTCTTTAGTCTGTATTCCATACTGATAAGTCCGTACTGGTTTCTTTTTTAATATTTAGAGAATCCGTAGTCGATTACTCTTCAGAGAGACAGTGCGGAATAATTCCAAACTCCGCGCCAAGTTCGCGCTAGCTGATGCGAGTCTTGCCGGCTTACCCTCATCTTAGTTCAAAGTCTGACGCTTACGAGTCTACTCAGCGTGCCATTTAACGCTCATAGCAGACGCAATACATAGCAGTATCCTCAGGAGGTAAAAGCCTTTCAAACTCTTACTTCCAACTGAATAACTATTGCAGTATATTGTATATCAGAATATTATATATCAGGACTAAGGTACGCTTGCTACTACCTGAGTTTATTCTAACTAACAACAGTTACATGTGACGCACTGCATTACAAAAAATTACAATTACACAACTTCAACGTGCTCACACGAACAGCGCGAGTGTCAACGAATCAAATTTCGCGCCATTCTGTGCCCACAAGAATTTTCAGTAATTGATAATAGTAATACTAGTCAACGTCCTGTAATCGGATAAATAACAGAATAAACAGCATATAAACCAATGATATTTATATTGAATTATTATAATTTCACTTCCACTTTGACCTTTCTTCTGCTATTGCTATCACATAACATCCGTGATCTCTGAGTTGTCAACGGCATCAATTTGTATCCTTCGAACCGGTCTTGGTAACGCAAACCGGAACAGCGAAAACATTTTGTACATGAAGAGAGTAACGTGTTTTAATCAAGTACAAAATTATTATTAATATTTTTGACTAATACATATGTGACGCACGTGCATTAGAAATTGGAAGATCATTGTAAAAAATATACAAAATTATAATACAAATTTATAGCTTGTACATACAACACAATATTGTTATATTTCTGTAAAATATTAATTGTGAAATAATAAGAATTTTATATTTATCCGTAGCAAGAGCTTTTAATTTTACAGTAATTAGTTTAATAGATTAAATATTAATTAAATTATTTTATATGTTTACTACATGATAAAATTAATTTGCTTACTAATTAGAACGAATATAATATTTTTATCATTTCCTTTTTTACTATTTATCTTTACCTTTAAAAATTTGTGTGCGTACATAATTCCTTTTGCATAATTTAATTTTAACTATATTCATTTTTACTAATTTCATTTAATTAAAATATTTTTTTATCTAATCCAATATATAAATTTCTTGCAATTTAATGCTACAGCTGCCATAGCGCAGCTATCTTTATAATACTGAAGCCAATGTATTATTAAAAGAAAATATAGAAAACGCAATCATAATTACATAGAGTGTAACATATAGACATACATAGGAAAGTTAAAAATAGCTTTTAAGAGTATCCAAATTTGTTTATAACCGACAAGACTAAGTTTTATTCATAATCTTGGAATAGATGTAGTTGTTCTAATTAATTTTTGTATACCTTTCAATAGAATGACAATACAGAACAATAGTTTGTTTTATAATACTTTGTTAATAAAGATTTAAAAGTTAAAAGAAATTTTAAAAGAATTATTAATATGAAATTTATTCTAAATTATTTCTATCTAAGTATTTATTCTAAATTCATTTAATATATATGTATGTTTGAATATATTTATTCTCAGCTATAATTTACTGAATATATATATATTAAAATTTTTAATTATATTTAATGGTTCTATTGTGCTAATAAAGCACTGTTAAAAAATAAAAGAATATTAACATATAAAACATCTGCGTTGATTATCTATTAAGTATGAATACATGAAATCGAAAATAAAAAAGGCAGTGAAAAATACAACTCAAATAATATCGATATAATATCAAATGAATCGTAAGAAATGTTCTTCTTTTCGTATGACAATTTCAGAGTTATATATGCATGAGAATTTTTTTTTCTGTAAATAATTAGAAGCGACTTCATGCAATCAAGGATAACTATATGATGAGTAGTGAACACTGAAATAACGTTGTTAAAGCAAATAAAATGAAAAAATATATATACTATACATATAATGGATTTTATAATCTTTATCATAATTGATCTACATAAAATTATCTCTAAAGTTACATTAAAAGCGAGTACATCATACGTCATGTCGCCATATCCAACTGTTGTCATTGTAACAACTGCCCACCAAAAAGCGTCAGGAATAGATTTAAAGAAGGAATTTTCAGACCCAGCTTCAGCAAAATAGACAGCAGATGAAAAAAGAACTACACCTGCAAAAAAAAACATTGTGTCTATTACATAATTAAAAATTTATATAATATATATATATAGACATATGCGAATTTTAGTTTCAATGCATTCTATATTTTATATAATAATATTACGATTAGGATATTTCTTAAAAAAAAATTAAAAAAAAACTAACAAAAATTAAAAATTCCTTAAATATTATATTATACTTCTTAATCTAACTTTTTGTTGGTAGTTTTTTTCCTATCCCATATTTTATATATCTATAATTATATTATACAAATTATCTTTTAATCAATTTTTAGAAAAAATTTACTTTATCGGTATATTGGTAATAAATGTATTTATTTTTTATTATCAATAAACAAATTATATTTGTTGTATACATTTCATACAGTAAAATATATGTTAATTATTTAATTATGTTGTAAAGCTAATAAATGTTTAATGTTTAGCAGATAACCTTGACTATATCTGGTAATAAAATGGCCACTTCTCCTTGCTTAAAGTACAATGGATGTATTTAAAATTACTAGTTAGTTTGTAGTTGATGACTTTAGTTTTATATTTAGTAACAATTACTAATTAATATTTATTTTATACAAGATTTATTTTTAAAGATTATATTATAATTGAAATGATATTTAAAAACAGCATTTTAATAAAGCATTGCTGAATTTATACTGATATTTAAATAATTCTTTTTTCATAGTAACATAATTCAATAAATTGACAAATCAAAATTATTTTACATATATTTTCACAAATTCCGTTACAAGTAATCATCTGAAATTACATATTTTTATTCATTTTCATTTGTAATAAACTTATAAATATTTATTTACATTTCACACAGTCTTATATATTACACTTACTTTAATAATATTCCACAAAATTAAACTTTTGTCAATAAAATAATGCTTAATAAAGTAAATAGTAAAGTAAATAACTATAATAAAATTGATTTATTATATCTATGCTAACAAATTCTACATATAAGTGATATTGATTGTGATATTGATCTATGAAACTACATAATATCAAATCTACTATTTTCCATTATCAAGAGAATTTTATTTGTCTTAACATGGTTCTTAATATCTATATCTCTTTCTTAATTGTTTTTTATTTTGGTTTTAATAAACGAATAGATAATCTTCAGTATCATTTAAGAATTTTTTTTTCTTTTCCAGGTGAACTTATAATTCTTTTTTAATTGTTCCATATATCATATAACATTATATATGAAATAAGAGATCTGATCAAAACAGAAAGATCAAAACAGTTATAGAAAATAAAAATAAAAATAAAATATAGATAAAAATTTCATATATATAATAACCAATCTATATAAATGTATGATATAATAAAACAAGAAAAGTAGAAAAATAAGATAATATTAAATCCTTATTACTTATCAAGAACAATAGTTACTTTAAAATAAAAATGTTCGAGTAGAAGATATAAATATGAAAAATAAAAAAATTTAACTAAATAGAAAATTCTATATTTTATAAGGATGATATATGTTATACATAAATTTCATATATTTCGTAAAAAATCTTTATATTTAAATTCTAATTTCTTTATTATTGATATGTATTAACTATAAAATGTGATAAATATTTCTTATTTAAAACGTAGCAATAATTTAGAATTTTAAGATAATATAAGTGATTTTTTCTTATTTTTATGCATCTATTATATAAGAATGAATAATATTTACTAGTAAATTTGAATATTAACATTTGATTTTTAAAATATAAATTTTACAATATTATATTTACCAATGAAGAGAAAAAATATGAGAAGGCCAAGTTCTCTCATTGATGCCTTCAGTGTACGACCCAGGATTTGTAGACCTTTACTATGTCTGGATAGTTTAAATATTCTGAATACTCTGACTAATCGAATGACTCTAAGAATGGCAAGTGACATTGCTTGATTCGTACTTTTGTCTTGTGGGCTAACTGGAGCTTTTGGCAAATTTAACTTATCTTCTTCTTCAGCTACAACAGTAGCCAAAGTAATAAAATACGGTATTATTGCAATTATATCGATAATATTCATTACATCACGAAAGAAATTTAACTTGTTTGGACAAGCTAGGAAGCGCACTGATAATTCAAATGTAAACCATATAATACATATTGTTTCTATTAGGAAGAATGGATCCGTGATATCTGGTACTTCATCTTCTTCGATCTTCGTACCATTAGTAGTAGTATTAAATACTCTGTAATGTTTAAACTCCGGAAGGGTTTCTAGGCAAAAAATAACTATTGATAATAGTATAACAAATACAGAAATTATAGCTACAACTCGTGCTCCTTGTGAACTTTCAGGATATTCAAATAATAACCAGATTTTTCTTTGGAATTCATGGGATGGTAACGGTTTTTCTTCTTCTTTAATAAAACCTTCGTCTTCTCTAAAATATTATAAATTAATTTTATGAAAATATCATAACACATATGTGTACATATGTTTTTTTAATAAGTATGATAAAATTATTCTGAAAATTTTTTAAATTATTACAAGTTATTGAATATTTATAATTTATATGTTTTATTATAAATTTTTCCAAGCAATAATTTGTAAAAAAATCACATTTTATTATTTATTATGTATGTTATAAAATTTAAAAAAGATGTATTTACAATTAAATATTTATTACTTTCAATTTATATTTATACTATTGGCTATATTGTATAAATTTTATTCTATTTTTGTATAATAAATTTGTTTATTAATAATAAGTTTTTAATCAATTTATTTCTATTATTTAAAATATTTGATATAATATATAGTTACGATAATAGTACATGAACTGACAATAATTAGTATTTAAAAGTATTGAATTTTAAGGTTTCATTATTTAAAAGATTAGAATAAAATGTTGAAATTGATATTACATTATTCAATCAAGTGTCAAATTGAAGGATTAATTTTACAATGTTTGCTTTCGTTTACTCATTTTGTTTAGGATTGGAGCACTTTCCAAGACAATTAATTCTCTGAAATTTGTAATCGTTCTAGCTCGCGAAATCGTAAATATTGACACCGAAATTTCGATTTCTAACGTAAATTAAAATTAAAGTTCCAAATTAAAATTCCGAACGTCCCGTAATGTTTATCTAGTTTCCGCATAGCAACTTGTTTTCCTGGAGTTCTTGAAGGTTCTAGAGCTTTAGTCTCTGACATCATGCAAGACTTTCGGCCTAGCAACACCTATGCATTGTTGCCAGCTAAATCAGCTGCTATGCGGATATTTAAGGAAGCACAGGACGAGCCTCGTTCTCTCAGTAAAGATGCCATGACTGCATCACGGTCTGTCTTGGCAGGACCGCCATGGAACAGTCGCTATCTCTTAGCAGAGCCACCATGGAACGAACAAGCCTTCAGTTTCGTATGTGTATTTAACAGGCTTGTAGGCACTCATTGTAATATCATTCAGCCAGACTTACAGCTATAAGCTAGTTACTCAGTTACGTCAATAGTGAAGCCGTTATAATTAATACACGGTCAATTTTCAAGTGCGCAAAAATTAAAAGCAGTCAAGAGTGCTGATTGCATTACAAGAACATACACGACTACAAGAAGCGCAAAATCTGGGCACTTGCTTCGCGCACTTTCTTAAGTTAACTAAGAGGAGACACGCTGAACTGCAAGAAGCCACTACACTGATTTCTGTATACGGAACTGTATTCTAGATTAAAGCACCACAATTTCTGTATAAAATGTCGTTGTATTCAGATCTGTCCTCTGGATTTAAGTATTGAGACGTCACTGTAACCGAAGCTGCACTGCGGGTTAAGGAGACTATACCAAGAGAACCCGGAGATTTACAACATCCATCCACGACTTGCAGTGCACGTTATCTCCACATGAGAAAACCACTAAGAACGGTAATATCTCAACGATTCTCATCACCAACATAATTGTGCGTTTGTAAATCAAACATCAATAAATGGCACGAAAAACAATTATATTGATTACTGAATCGAAGCATTAACCTCTCACTTTTTCACACTGTTTCACCAGTAAAATGAAGGATATGGTCTAATCCAACCATCTTCGTCTTTCGACCACCGGGTGACTCGAATTCCGAACACATTTACTTCTATCAATCGGTTCTATAACAGTAAAACAACAGTTATAAAATTGAGTCTCTAAATTATGTATACATTTTAAAATTGAATGAAAAATTCTATAATAAAATTGATATTTTAATAGAATTTTATTTCAATCCTTGGATATAATTTAAAAATATAAATACTTAGCTCAGTTCATAGTTGAATATTAAGTTTGAGCATTTTTTTACTTTACTCAATAATACCAAACAGTTTTTGCTGTTGATATTATTAAAGGACTCAATAAAATTATTTCAGTTCTTATTTATAAATTAAAGTTATTCTATATATGTTGAAATAAATTAAATAGTAAAATAATTTAAGTAGAGAAATGTGTTAAATACAAATAAAAATAAATTAAATAGTTAGAAAGGTTAGCTAAATTAAGTCTGTACAAGTTTTAGAAACTTACATGCTTCGAATGGAAAACGGTGTGAGCCAGTTTGGATTTTATCTTTAAATAATTAAAATAGTTTTTTACGAAAGGATTTTTATTTTACAATTGTAAAAATTACATGAATATAAATTAATATTGTTTATTACTTTAACAAATTAGTGCATTAAATTTAGAATTTAAATATACTATTAGTTATTTTGAGTAATAATTGTACAAATTAATTATATTGTTTTATGAGTTCTATATCTATTAATTAATAAGTAGATACTTTATTTATCATTTTCACTTTGTATATGGTGATTTATTTTTCCTGGAATTAATGTTTCGACCCATATTCTATATATTTTATACTACGATTTAAAGATTATATTGATTAAATTGATTATATTAAATTATATTGATATTAAAAAAATATTAATAATTTTGTTGTTATAATTTTATATTGGGCGCACAATAAATTTTTTAGATCTAAAAATAGATTAATTTTTTTATTTAAATAGTTTTAAAAAATATTTAATTTTTGGGATCAAGAATACATGTTTGTTATATTTTAAACATATTTAAAAATAAATTTTATCATACTATTTCAACAGGTTTATATTTTTATAAATTAGTTTTATATATTTATTATTTTTTATATATTTTATATATTATTTTTATAAATTGTTTCTATATTAATTAGATTAATATTATTTTTATCCAAGAATTCTTATTTTTGGAGTGAAATATTTTTTATGAAATATGACAATTATTAAAAAATTTATATATGTAAATAAAATAAGAATAATATTTATATTTATTATTATATTGATTTATTTATGAATTATATTATGTTGTACAGAGTATACGAATAATGATAATTATAAGAATCATTTATTTTCATTACATCTATATTGTTGGGAGTGTTTAATGCTAATATAATTAGTATTTTAGTTGGATAGACGAATTAGCAGTAATTTCATAATTGTTAGCAATTTATTATAATAATCAATTAAATTACATCTCAAGTAAATTGATTATTTTAATAAATTGATTTGATGATGTAATCATTACAATATGTTTTAGGTTAATCTATATTGGAGGAAAATAGAATTTTATAAATTATAATTACATTAGAAAAGTAACGTTTTATTAGTAATGATTTCATCATTTACTAAAAGGGCTCAAATCCCTTTTTCATTTTGATTACTGGTTGCTATAGCAAAACGTACATCAGCTTTATCTTTAGTGCATTTTTCTACTTTAGTAACTGCAGGGGTTTAGTTATTCATGCTGTTTGGGAATTGGAGCAGTTTTCAAGAATTTAAATTGGGAAAGTACGAGCTCTCGGACGCTCATATTTGTAAACACTATTCAGCGATTCGGGAATTTTCCTACGCCTTAAATTCGATATAATATACGAGAATATTTCCGCATAGCAACGCCGATGAAACTTCTAGAACCATCCAAAGCTGTGTCTTTCGATGCTGCTAGAATATTTCAGAGCTTCGTTCTTTCACGTCACTATGATTTTCGGCATAGCAGCAGGCATCGGCGCTGCTGCCGGCGTCGCAAGCTGCTACGTGAATATTCAAAAGTAGCTCACCACGCACCGCGCACTGTACTTTTAACATCCACTCAGTCGCCACGCACCTGGCTCACGGTGTAGTTTACTATCTACTCAGTTATTAATTATAGCTCACTGTAATTCTACTACTCGCTCACTCATCTGTTATTATTAATTAGCGTATTTTCTCAATCAATCAAGTATTAGTTATAACTCGCATATACGAAACTTAACCGCAAGCCTGGCAACCGACCTACAACATATACGTGCATTATTAACAGAATCGACAATCACATGTTAGTAATTTAACAGTGATGCTATTGGAATTGTAATTAATAAAGTGCGCCAGCCACGCAGCAATTCAGCATACCTTGACGGTAGTTTATAAGATACATCCTCTTTATTATTTGTACAAGTTAGTCATCCACGCATTCCCATAAAGTCTGCCACGAAAGGTGGAGCAACACGCTATCTTAAGCCGACCAGGACGCATAACGTTCTTTCACCTCTCCAATCCGTTTAGTTAAACAATCAAGTGCAGACTTCCATTTCTCAAATAGTCGACTATAATTACCTATTATTAAGTCCTTCCGTCCACGAAGGACCTGTTTATCATTTATTGTTCTTGCGTGTGACTAACTATCTAATACTCCCATACTTCCTTTGGAGTATGGTCGATTTAAGTAACAACCACATCAGAGACTACAGTATTTTCTCCTTTTAAGTATGCTTACTCTCCCTACGATGCCTTATTGATTACCATTATGATTATCATCAGCATTACCATCTTCACATGCTCCATGCTCATTAATGAGCATTGCCGATTTCTCATGCTGAGCTTTATAACATCAGCATAGACTCAATAGTCAACATTCACAGTAATTTCCATAACAATAACGAGAACCAAGGATACAAGGAAGCACCCTAGCCCCTGCAATAGAATACATTTCTCCCTCTCTTACTTGAAGCAACCACGAGACTGCAATATTATAATAATTCATAAAGCAGAATAAAACAATATCTTCATTCAATATATATATATTTCATAATATTTTCAGCCCTTCCGCTTGTGCCTTTTCCTCCTAATCGCTACGGCTTGAGACTAATCCACTGAATTATTGAATTAACAGTTCGAGCCACAAAACAAACACTCAATTTCTAACACATGCGTTTCCATTATTTAATGGATATTAATAATCATTTATTGGAATATATTAAAGTTACATGATTTATTGCAATACTTTTAGTAGGGGTTTCAGCTATTTTAGAATATGATTTAAAGAAAATTGTAGCTTTTCTCTTTTGTCTTAGGGATATACATTTAGAGGATAACATAATATGATTTAGTATTCATTTTATA